CAGCACTGAGTTTTCTGATATGGGACTTGGCATTAAATGTTTCAGGCACCATACCTCCACCACTGACACTGACAACTCACTCAGCACTGGTAGACACCACTGAGTTGGCACTGAAGGAACTGACCAAACAAAAATACTGGTCAGCATTGATTCCGTCCAAGAAAAGGAAAGAATCCATGACACTGACCACTCAGAAATCAGCACTCACTTATAGTCTCTGCTGCATCAGCGAGACTTAGAAATCTCATCTGCACCACGTTCCCCAGTATTCAGTGCTGAGGGATCCAACACAGACTCCAAAGAGGCTAACAGGCCAGTATACTTGACATGCCTCTCCAGTGATGAGGAAGATGAGATGAAACTCTCGTTATTTACCAAAACTGGGGGGAGGGGGAGATTAAACTCTGGGGAGACTAGGAAAAGGAGGTGGGAGAGGGGAAGAGAGAGAGAGTGGGAGAAGGGACCTGCAGCAAGAACTACTTCAGCAGCAAGAAAAGATGCTAGCCAGAGTTTTTCCTTGACACAGTGAAAGATCCAGCAATGGGGAGCTACTGTAACTTTCCCCCTCTACTTCACCTCTGCCAAAGCTTTTCACTGGCCGTATGTCCTCGTCGCAGTGTGCACACTGCCTGCCTTTCACCACAGCATGCTGCTACATGTGCACTGCCTGCCAGCTCTAGTGATGTGCCTTGTAGACAGTCTTAGAGTAAAACCATATACAGATCATTTTTAAAAAATTAAAAATGAAAAAAATGTTCTACTGATCCTCTCTGAAATTTTTTCCAGATTTTCAGTTTGTGAAAATGTTCAAGATTTTAACTTTTTGTCCTCATTTAGGAAAGGGGAAAATATTTGAAATCTTGCAAATTCTCACAGCATAAAAAAATCATTTCTTGCCCCATTGTCCTTAGAATACTAGAAGTAAGAATTAAACAAATGGAAATGCATCTTACCTGCCTATTTCCCGCACAACACTAATGCAAGGAGAGCATTCTAAAGGTAGATTCTCATAAAGGTCTGGATAGGTAATTTCCTATTGCCAGTTATAATTTTCAACTGTCAATGCCATACATTAGTGCCACTGCAGATCTACATAACATACTCAGTTGTACTATCCCTGGTGCTGAAGTTTGTAGGAAGGAGAAATTGATTCATCTGTGGTTCTTCCACACCAAAAACAAACAAACAAACAAATGTCAAGAAGGAATATTATACAGTAACTCTGAACCTTTCAGGGCTGACTAGAGATCAAAGTTCTTCAGAGCACTCACAGGGAAGCTATAATTTCAACCACAGAATTTTGGGAAGGTAATAGTTCTCTCTGGCATGAAATCTGACACAGCAATTTTGTTTTTTCAAATTCTTGCTGTAGTGCTAACTGCAGGCATTTAGATAATCTTGTTGTTTTTCTTGTTTTGACCTTACTGCCTGATTGAAGTATATAGTGTAGTCAGTTTGTTGTTGGTAAGGGAGGGTCATGTGCTGAGCCTAACAGCTCCCTAGGAAAATCTGGGAGCTTTTTAGTGAGGCTTTGTAACCTAATCTCTTTAGCACCTATTAACCCTAAACCAGGAGTAGGGCTACTTAGGAAGAACTGGAATTTAAAAAGCTAGCTCCAAAGTGACCAAAGGAGCTAATAAACTGGAGCAGCTAGTAGGGAAGATTTGTGTGGAAGTTGAGAGAGAGAGAACATGAGAGCTGATTAACACTTGGGGTATGTCTACACTACAAAGTTAATTCGAACTAACAGCTGTTAGTTCGAATTAACTTTGTAGTGTAGACATACCCCAAGTGTTAATCAGCTCTCATGTTCTCTCTCTCTCAACTTCCACACAAATCTTCCCTACTAGCTGCTCCAGTTTATTAGCTCCTTTGGTCACTTTGGAGCTAGCTTTTTAAATTCCAGTTCTTCCTAAGTAGCCCTACTCCTGGTTTAGGGTTAATAGGTGCTAAAGAGATTAGGTTACAAAGCCTCACTAAAAAGCTCCCAGATTTTCCTAGGGAGCTGTTAGGCTCAGCACATGACCCTCCCTTACCAACAACAAACTGACTACACTATATACTTCAATCAGGCAGTAAGGTCAAAACAAGAAAAACAACAAGATTATCTAAATGCCTGCAGTTAGCACTACAGCAAGAATTTGAAAAAACAAAATTGCTGTGTCAGATTTCATGCCAGAGAGAACTATTACCTTCCCAAAATTCTGTGGTTGAAATTATAGCTTCCCTGTGAGTGCTCTGAAGAACTTTGATCTCTAGTCAGCCCTGAAAGGTTCAGAGTTACTGTATAATATTCCTTCTTGACATTTGTTTGTTTGTTTGTTTTTGGTGTGGAAGAACCACAGATGAATCAATTTCTCCTTCCTACAAACTTCAGCACCAGGGATAGTACAACTGAGTATGTTATGTAGATCTGCAGTGGCACTAATGTATGGCATTGACAGTTGAAAATTATAACTGGCAATAGGAAATTACCTATCCAGACCTTTATGAGAATCTACCTTTAGAATGCTCTCCTTGCATTAGTGTTGTGCGGGAAATAGGCAGGTAAGATGCATTTCCATTTGTTTAATTCTTACTTCTAGTATTCTAAGGACAATGGGGCAAGAAATGATTTTTTTATGCTGTGAGAATTTGCAAGATTTCAAATATTTTCCCCTTTCCTAAATGAGGACAAAAAGTTAAAATCTTGAACATTTTCACAAACTGAAAATCTGGAAAAAATTTCAGAGAGGATCAGTAGAACATTTTTTTCATTTTTAATTTTTTAAAAATGATCTGTATATGGTTTTACTCTAAGACTGTCTACAAGGCACATCACTAGAGCTGGCAGGCAGTGCACATGTAGCAGCATGCTGTGGTGAAAGGCAGGCAGTGTGCACACTGCGACGAGGACATACGGCCAGTGAAAAGCTTTGGCAGAGGTGAAGTAGAGGGGGAAAGTTACAGTAGCTCCCCATTGCTGGATCTTTCACTGTGTCAAGGAAAAACTCTGGCTAGCATCTTTTCTTGCTGCTGAAGTAGTTCTTGCTGCAGGGAAAGGTTCCTACAACAGGGAGCTGACAGTGCCTTTTTCCAGATGGAGGAGCCCTTTCATGTGATGTGGAAAGGCTCCAGCAACAGGGAGGCAATGGAACATTACATGTGTGACAGACCTAAGCCAGCAGCCTGCCACACTCAGGTCCTATTTGGTGTCCAAGAGGTGGGTGGGCAATAGCCCGCCCACATCCAAAGGACCTCCCCCCAGCCTACGGGGAGGATCCACAGAGCCCAGAAAAACCAACTAACTACTTGGGACAAATAAAGAGAAAAGAGGTGTGATGGTCAAAGGGCTAAAACGAGGGAACCGGACGGGGACACCGAGCAGAGAACCCCAGACAGCGCACACTGCCCCTTGAAGGTCTTGAGCGAGCCAGTGGATGCCGCCTAGTGGAACTCTGCCCAGATTCGTGAGTGGATGCAGGAACAGAAATAGGCCCCACAGTTGCAGGCCCCTCCCTCATCCAACCTCTGCTCCCTGATTTTGTAAATTACCAGTTTGGCCATAGCCAGGAGGAGGTTGACCAGGAGGTCCCGTGACTTTGTGGGGCCATGGATGGGATGTGCGTAAATTAACAGGTGAGAGGAGAAGTGCAGCCAGAACCTCAACAAGAGGTTCTGGAGGATCCGAAAGAGGGACTGTAGACTGGTGCACTCGAGGTAGACATGCGCCAGGGTCTCCCTCATGCCACAGAAGGGGCAAGTGTCGGGAATGGGGAAAGTACACTCCCATGCTCACAGCACTGTGCAGAATTCTCCAGCTGATGTCCCTGGTGGGCCACGGAATCAAGGTCGAATAGAGGCTAGCCCACCAGGGCTCCCCACCCTCTATTGGTGGTAGGAGGTCCTGCCACTTGGTGTCTGGGAGGGACACGAGGGTGGGGAAGTGCAGCGTGTGAAGCACAAGCGTGTACAGGTGACTCTTTTGCGCAGTTCAGAAGGGGACCAGCTGCAATCCGTGCAGCCGGCTCGGGTGATGAGAGGGAGGTGGTCGGAAGGGTATGTGGGGCTGAGGCTGGCGAGATCAGGAGGGCCGGGGTGAGAGGTAGGTGGGGTGCACCCTCTTACAGGACCCTGTTTAGGTACACCTGAGCAGTGGGCGGCAAAGCGTCCTTCACCTCCTGAAGTACGTGCCAGAGAGTATATAGGGTGGAGAGCCCCATGTGCTGGGTGAGCGCCGGAGGATCCACCCAGTCTCCCTGGTTGTAGTCCAGGAGGTCTCCAATTCTGGTGACTTCTGCCAAGACCAGCCTCTGGTGCACTGAAGGGGACTCCGCCACCTGTACATGTAGATGAGGATTGTGTAGCAGTGGCTCCGTGAGGTGGCTCCCAAGGACCTGGTCGCCGCAAGCAGCTTCAAGGTTTGGAGGAGGTCCTGGTAGAAGGCCAGCAGCCTGGAGAGGTCTTGTGGAAGAGAGAAAAACACAAAGATGGAGTAGTGGATCCGCGCTCCACCTGATGGCCTGAAGCGCGGGTGGGAGGGAGCTCACCTGCCACCTGGCCCCCACCACCATGCCAGAGCTCTTGACCCAGTTGTCCCGGGCAGAAGAGGCTGCCGAATAGATGGCTTGGCAGGCCTCCACCCACACCAGGTTGCCCAGGTCCTGGACCCATGAGGAGCACTTTTTCGGTGTATGGGGTGGGAGGGAGCTCACCTGCCACCTGGCCCCCACCACCATGCCAGAGCTCTTGACCCAGTTGTCCCGGGCAGAAGAGGCTGCCGAATAGATGGCTTGGCAGGCCTCCACCCACACCAGGTTGCCCAGGTCCTGGACCCATGAGGAGCACTTTTTCGGTGTATGCTGACAGGACCAGCTGCATCTCCGGCTCATCTAACCATTTACAAAATCCATTTTCTTTTGCTAACAAATAATCAAGAGCTAATCTATTTTGCATAACATATATAGGCATTTCTTCAACCTTGTCTGATAACAACTTAAGTCCTCTATTTGTTTGATTTCCAAGGCGCTCAATGGCCTGGGATTGCAGTTCCAAACATTCATACAGTAAAAGATTACCAATGGGATTAAAGGTGAAGGTTGCCATTGTCAGTTTTCCAAACCAAATTTTTATTAGGGACCAAAACGAATTCCTGTCACGCTTATCACGACCAACAAACCGAGGTTGAGTAGAGCCTCATACATAAATGCCTCCTCCTTGGATGGTTACATAACCAAAGGTACAACGTCCTTTTGCGTTGGTGGGTAGTCGAGAGTGGGCTCGACTCCCGCAAAGCCAAAAATGTCCCGGATATAACAACTGGAGGCGAGGATAGTCACTGCACCAGGGATCAGATCCTTCGTTGGCATCTACGAGGGCTATGTTAGTTCCATGCAGCGAGAAAAAGGGGGTTATACGTAGGCTACCATTTTTATTGCGATTGGTTTCTACCTGGCACACACAGTTCTGATTTATAAACAAAAGAGGATAGGGGACAGGGGTAGGAGTAACATCTAAATCAATTTCCCAGTCCTCATCATAATACAAAACACTAGTTAAATTCCAACCAAAAACATTATTTGTGCTATTGTACCAATCCTTAGTGACATTGTGATTGGTTGAGTTAAAAATGCTTGAAATATTCATATAAAAGGCACAATTGTGCTGAAAACCAACATCAATAGGTGGACCAATTTGGAACCTTGCGTTTTGCTGTACATCGCAGGGTACCCCTGACAAATCTACGCAAAACTGAGCGTGTGGTAGATCAGTGGTATAGGGTAATGTTAACAAAAGGGAACTTAGGGTAGCTGCTCGAGTGGGAAAAGAAAATAGGGTCATATTTGCATACCAATTCGGATATGAGCTTAAAAAATTAAGATAAATGGGTGTAACAAAAAATGGGGGTTCACCAGCATGGCGAACTGGAAGGGAACAAACTAAACAGTCTGTTACGTTTCCTTGGACTGCGTACGCCTTCATCCATTCCTCGATGGTTGATGACTTATCCTGAAAAACAAAATGTATGTGACTTGGTCGCTGTTAGGATCGTTTACTTAACCAATTATGATGAACTAAAACTAGATTTACATTGTCTTGGTTTTGGACCCAATAGGTGTTGGGGTGATCCTACTATATTTAAACATACATATGGGCGCCTGTCCTCTAAGGTTTTTTGTTGGTCGGCCGGATGACATTCGGCCTCTACTAGTTTTTTGGAAGGTAATCACTGGGGGCCCAGGTTTTCCAACCCAATGTTACTGCTATGTTTTCTTGTTCTACTTTAGACATGGTTCTAACCTTTTCTTTTGTGAGTCCTTGGCCCAATAGAAAGCCAAACAGTGCTCTTTCATATTTGGATTGCATGTGTGGCTGATTTTTTGGTTTTGTGTCAGCTGGAAATGCTTCCCTTTTTTGGAGTCTAGGCATTTCTATTTGGCTTGCCACTTGATATATGTGAGAAAGGTTATAACCGTCTACCGTGCGAAGCCACATTAAAATTCCAGGGTCCCTTTTTGTCATTCCATCCACCGCTGCCTGGATGGCCAGTCCTGACAGAGGGATTTGGCTAGGGTCTGTGAGAAACCTAAAGGGATTTAGTAGTGCTTGTTGTGCAGGTGTGAGTCCCAATGGAATGACTTGAGCATCCCAAACCATAATACTAAAGCTGGCACAGGCATACATTAACTCTTCTCTGGTGATAATGGTCCCTTGCAGGGCGGCCATGGACTGAAGTGACCCACCTAACACCAAACTCACTAATCCGGGGACCGTCAATGGGTATACCGCATTGCCTGCTACTAGTGAGTTACTGCCTGCTCCTTTACTCCAACTCTGGGCTCTCACTAGGTGTACTGCTTCTTCTTTATCTACTAACTCCGACCCATTATTTAAGGCTACACGTCCCAACCACACTACCGAAGGCTCTCCTGTATTATGCTGCGTGTCCTCTAAAAGGGCTTTTAATTCGGTCTTAGACCGGGTGCGTAGGACCATAACCTGGTTAGTAAGTCTGGTCGCTGTGTCATAAGTCATTTTTGTGACAGCTACTGGGAGTGCCTCCACCTCGGGTTCTTTCACTGAAGGTGGGGCGCTTGGTGCTTTTAATTTTTCAAGAGCTTCCCTTGGGTAAGGGGGGCTCAGCTTCCTTTTCTGGAGGCTCAGTTTCTTTTTCCAGGGTCACATCTACATTTGGGCTGGAATTGTTAGCCTCGGCCCTCAGCAGAGCGCCGCACGCGGCAAAACTTAAGCACGCGTGGCTTGAACCTAATTTCCAGAGGGTCTTTTTAAACATGACCCACAAAACTTCTGCTACTCTTTCGGCTTTAAATTTATCAGGCTTTAATTTCCTTTGTTCTCGAGTTTCTTCTAATCTTTGGACTAATTCTGTTAAGAGGGTGTGTCCTGGACTACTGCAGGTAATGGGGGTAGTTGGGAGGGTGGCTGACACGTGGCCACCGGATTTCTTTAAGATTTTTTCCACAGCAGTCAAAAGATTCGCCGGGTCTGTTTCATCTCCTTTTGATCCTGTTGTTACATAGGTGGGGCTTTTAGTTCCATCCTCCGGATAGAACATGATAGAATGGTGTGTCCATAGCAAACACCCTAAAGATGGCATTGTTAGGGGGGCTGCCCATATTTTAGAGGCTTGCCCAGTTCCTACTTTTATATTAAAGATCATCGAGGGGTTGTTATTTTCATTACTTTCCAATTTATGATACGTTAAATGGCAAAGCACATCTTCTGGATTTTCACTCGGGGGCCTGCTTGCCCAGGGACACTCGCCACATCCTATTCATGATGCCATGTTGGTGCTTGGTTCGATAAAATGGCATGAGTCCCAGAGGCTTTAGGCCAAATACCCAGTGAAAATGCAGAATGATGGCAAGACAACAAATTTTGCTAAAGAAGGAGTGATTTATTAAGCTGAACAACTTCCTAATATTTACCTAACATTTACCTAATATAATGAACAACTACCTAATATTTACCATACAACAACTTTTAAACCCTACCTAAGTTACAGCTAAGTCAAATATATACACACTTAAAAAAAACTGTTTCTTTAACACTGACAATAGCAAGGGTAAAAGTTACCACAGAGCAATATTTTTTCTAACCTGTCTCTTTTAAACAACTTAACAACAGTGGGGGTAAATTAAATACTTACAAACTCAGCAACAACAACACAAAGACACACAAGGAATTGGAGCATGCTCGAGATTCGTACACCCCTTTTTAGATTCGGTGGGTGGGAGGCAGCCTTTGGGTGATCAGTCCTAAGCCAGACTCAGATTCTGTCTTCCAATATCCGGGAGTCCTCCCCAGCTAAGGGCAGAGAGGTTTTTATGTTCTTGCCTATTACCATATTTGGTGTTGTTTGTGCTCTGGGAGTGGCATGGGAGTGGTCTGGATGTGGTCTGGGTGTGGTGTGAGGCCCATATATGGTGTTGAGTGCTGAACTCTGACAAGCTCCATTTTATTGGTAGATAAGCCTTGTTGCTATCCATGTAATGTGGTGAGGTTGCTGAGGTAGATCTCGGCTATATGCGCGAGGCCTGGCCAAGAGAACCCATACTTGACAAGTAGATTTCTTGTCTGGTGGGACAAAAATCTTGTAAGGTGTTAGTCAGTGTGAGTAGTGGGTAGTCCTGAGTTGCCCCCCAAGCCTTCTCCCCCCTACCCTCCCCCCACACTAACACAGTGTTTGTCACAAGAAGGGAGACTAAAAAGGGGTTTTCACTCCAAAACCATGGACTAGCTTGTGATGAGTAGCTCACTAAGCTGTAAAGGGGTTGTGTAATATCTGCCAGTAACGCGAGACCCATGGGGCATGGCCAGAACTTTGCCACAATTGTTAAAAATAGTAGTTTAGATGGACGGGCCATGGTTTGGGTGACTAGAAACATTTAGGGCAAGTATCGTATACATACCTATGCTCTTCAGGTGTATCTTTAGTTTACTTAACTAGGCTGTGCCTCACCACACACTGCTATTTATACCCCTGCTGCAGATGCTCTGTGGATATATACTTGAGATGTTATCAAAAAAGTATGCAATGTAGATGAACCTTAGGGACTTTTTTACATAACTGTAGTTTGGACTACAGGGGGTGTGAATTGCAGGATGCACCAATGTGCAGCACTTTAACTCCCCCATGTGGATGCTGCCACTGTGACTGAAAAGGCATGACTTGGCTGTGCATTACAGTTCACACCTCCAAAGTCCAAACTACTGGGCCACATAGCTAATTCCTAAAGGAAAAGTTGTTTTGACCTGAAAAGCAGAACTTTTTTATTTAGAAAATGTTGAAGCACACTGAAACCTTTTTTCATGATGCTTTGAGATACTTAAATTTGTCAAAGCTAATCCTTTCCCACAAGCAGTTTCAATGTTGATGAATCAGCATTTTCAGAAGACAAATATTTCCTCAAAAACTCCCAAACTGTTGTTGTTCTAAGTTCATTCCCTGATTGAAGATGGATAATGTGGGTCCCCAAGACCACGCTATCCTACAGCTATTTTTCCTTCGGCTGGGTTACACGGAGTAAATGATCTCATCAGTGATTGGTTTCACACTGTGATATAATTTAGCTCAAGAATGTGCACACAAGAGAGGAGTGAATCTTGGTTTGAATATTTATGGAAAGATTGAGATTCACTTTTCCTCACACTCTGGCTTTCTTCCATTTTCATCTCGCTTCTCATCTTCCTGTCAGCCATAAGCAGCATTTGAATAGGGGCTCAGTAGTACTTACAATATCTCTGCTAAACTCCATTGCCACTGACAGAAATGTTATGGAAGACATGGTTGCATGTGTTTCTTTTCTCTCTTTGCAGCATTTGTCAAATGCCCTTGATTTACTTGCTTCCCAGAAGTACATCCAGTCCATCAAGAGGAGATTGACAAAAACATGACATTTTGCATTGTGCTTTTGATTTGGCAAAACGTGTTATTGTTGGTTTTTTTTAATTTTTAAGTCTTGGTTCTTCTTCATAAGAAATCTCAGTGAAATGGAGGTTTTTCCAGGTCTTACTCTACAACTGTATTTCTGCCATTATTTTTCTTCAACCGTTCCTCAATCTGTCGAGGCCACCCAGAGGATTTACTTTTGAGCTTCCTGCCAACATTCTGGGTTAGAATTCTTACTCAGAATAAAGCATTTATTTAGAGAGATAATTTAATGTGTATAGGCACAATAATACCACTACTGCCAGAAGTGCTAACTGTGTACTGGCTAACTGGCAGATGGCCCTGAACATTTCAGTTCATTTTTCCTCTAGACTGAATGCAGCCGTCACATTTTAGTGATTCTGAACACCAAGTGCATTATATAACTCATTGTTCAATTATTGAATGCTGTGCTATGTATTGTGCTATACAAACATAGAGGAAGACAGTCTCTGTCACAATAACTTTCCAATTTTATTGCCTTCCAGCTTATAAAACATTCATCTCCAAAAACTCTAAATTCTTCTAGAAAAGGCAAGGTCTGATATAAATGTTACAATTCAGACACACATGATACTAATCAAGTTCAGTCTCATTAGGAACGGTCTTTTCTCTCTCGCTTGCTCTTGATTATTGATGAAAGGTTTTCTTGGAGAAATATAGTTGTAAAAAAGAGTTAGAATGAAGAGGAAGAGGTTGTTTGTAAAAAGGAGAGTGCTCCAAGCTTAGGTTTTAGGATGGAAGAGGGCACAAAGATAAGACTGATAGAAGGATACACAGTAGATATCTGTGAAGGAGGCTTTGGCAACTGAATAGTTTGTTAGAGGAAATGAGCAGACTTATATAAACAGGTTTGAAGTTGATGGCCTTGCCCTGGAGACAATCAAAAAGAGAAGTATTTTGTGGACCCTGGAGTAACTCCCTCTTACTTGTTGTGGTTTGGATTTCCCCACCAGGGAAAAGCCTTGGACTAAATTGACCCCAGGGAGGCAGAAGAAAGGAAGAGGCCCAGGGAGGACAACTGTAAGCAGCCTTCATTGCCAGACTACCGGTAGCCCAAACTGCAGAGCTTGGTGCAGTGGGAGGGCCCAGGCTCTCCTCCCCATAACCTCCTTGTCGTCAGTAGTTGCAGCCATGACCTCTTGGCCACATTCACCAACCACAGCCCAAGTGAAGACAGTTACAAGCCTATTAAAAATCTCCTTTGTACTCTTGTCATCTCTAGCTATGTGCTTTCATTTCATTAAACATCCATGGAGGCGGGTTTAGAAGCTATCACTTCATAGCTTGTCACAGGGCCTTTTCCAGCTCCCTTCCGAGGACAAGCAGCACCAGAACTGTGTCAATGAGTTGATCAGATTATCTAGTTACGTTACTGTGAAATGTCAATGTGCAGTAGTACAAGCTTGAAAACGTTTACTGCTTATATTGTTAGAATTCAGGTCTGCATTCTCTTTCCAATGAAAGCTGGCACTGAAGCTCTCTTTCTTTATCTCTCTGTTTCATAGGTTATCATTTTGTATTTTGAGCCAAGCATATTTCGCTGTATTCTCCTAAGATGGGTTCGTCTTCTGGGCTTTACTACTGTTTATGGAACTGTGACACTCAAGCTTCACAGGTATTTCATATGTTATTATTTTCCATCACTGTGGTGGTATGTACTGTGTGTGTGGTGAATTAGAATCAAGAGCTGTGAGAATGTATTACAAATAATAGCTCTTTCTGTACAAAGGAGCTTTAAAACTGTGTATCTCTTCTTAACATTCCTGAGGTAGTAGTGGTAGTTGTAATTTTTTTTATGAGTCTATTTGCCAGTGTTTGAGACAATGCTGCAGGATTCAATTAAGGAGGAATAATTTATACAGGTGCATTGTAAAACCATACAAAGTTCCTAGCAGAGAGGGAAAACATTTATTTGAAGACAAAGGAAGAAAAATGTCTAAATCTTCCTTCAAGAGTCCAAAGAGAAAAGTGGTAACAGTTTTATTTCTTTTAATGTTATAAATGTTTTGATACCATGGTGACGGACGCTATAGAAAACATTAAAACAGAATATCATACTTGCTTAGTATGAAGCCTTTTGAAGGCTCACAAGCCAAGGGTTGCTTTCTTCAGTCGCAGATGCCAGACAGATTGTATCTGCTTGCCAGAGAATGTGTTCAGGGAATTTTGGGTTATGTTTGAAGAAATTCAGCTGAGCTGGCAGAGCACTCAACTGGGGATGCTGATGCTTGGAGAAACAACTTCAAATCCCACCTCTGCATTCTCCTTATAAATCAGTGCCTTTTGTAGGCATGTAATAGATAATATCTGTACATTTTCCCCCTTACATGACAGTGAAAAGAAATACAGAGGAATACTTATTTATACATCCATTCTATAAATGTATTTGTGGAACAAAAGGGAGAATATAAATACTGGTGCCTTAAAAAACTAATGAGGATCTTTAAACTGTAAAGTATTCATAATTATGTTTTATTCTAGCTTCATTATTCCATTGGCATGATACACAAGTGAGGTCCAGTATAGTGCTCTGATAGGGCCAATGGCATCTGGATTTTGCAGTAATTACATGTATTGGTATCAGTTGGTGTACTTTGCCTGTTTGTTTAATGACATCTGATCACCTCTTTGAATTGAAATGGATCAAACATCAGAATTGATACTCTTTAAGTACCTTCTTTGCAGAGGATGCGATTCAAAGTAATTGATGGACTGTGGAAAACAGAGACGAATTGGGGGGGGAGCGTTGATTAGAGGAGCTATTATCCTGAGCTCAGAACAACAACCTAGGAATATCTACAGTCTAGATCGTTGTTCATCATCTAGTTCTGTAACAGTCTGATCATATGACTGAAAGTTATATGGATTGTGATGCTATAATTTGATATGGGAGCTGTAATTGTGTTTAAATACAACGAGGGAAGGATTGGAAAATAGAACAGAAGCTGTCTGTTCAAAGCTAGGCCAACATTGTGGGAACACAAAAATTGTTACCTAGTGGCTGATCAATTGCTTTTATAAACTGAGTTCTCAGTCTAGTTCCTAGAAGCTACATATTTGTGTTAAAACAAACAAGCCTTCTATCCCCAGCCCTTCAGCATTGCCACATTTCACACTACTTAATATTTTTGTTGACAATCAAGTACATAATGATGAATGATCTCTTAAGAATAATTGTGGTAGAGGCAATCCCAAGGGCATATATTCACATGAAAATTTTAAAATAAAATTAAAACAACTATTGCAATCTTAAGAAAATAGCCAAGTGTCTTGTGTGTGGGCTTTAAAGTAAGATGTATTTCTCAATATTTGTTTAGGCAGTTTCTGTTTACTAACAGGCACATACAAAATTGGAGAATCCTATATGTTCCCTGACCATAGAGCACCATAGAGTGGAGTAATTGGCCCCTGGAGAAGTCTCAATGTATGTAGGCTCAATATATATTTCCGTATGTATCAGAATTCTGGCTGGCCTGGCTGTATACTGAATTAATACCCTAACTCAGGGGTTGGCAACCTTTGATTCACAACCTTTGAGGGTAATCAGCTGTTGGGCCACAGGACATATTACTGCTGTTGAGCATCCTCAGGCTCCTCTCCCCATAGCTCCCAGGCTGTAAATAGTGTCAGGGATGCTCAGATTGAAGTTAGTCAGCTGGCTCCCAGTCCTATTGTACATCCAGCCTCAATAGATTAGAAGTGCTGCTCAGAGATCTCAGTTTCTTAACCGTGTCAATGCAAACATGAGGATCCAGCTGTAGAGTGACCTGCAGAACCTGCCAAAGACAAGATTAAAATCCCACAATCCTCTGTGGAACTGCATCAAAACCCTTAGACAGAACATTGATGCTGATGTTCAGTGGAGACTCTCAAGGAATGTTTCATCTGCTCAAAACAAACAGCTTTTCATTGACCCTGCCAAGGAACCGCTGGGTTTTAATTTGTCAGAAATACAGGCAGTCCCTGGGTTACGTACAAGATAGGGACTGTAGATTTGTTCTTAAGTTGAATCTGTATGTAAGTCAGAACTGGTATCCAGATTCAGCTACTGCTGAAACTGACCAGTGGCTGACTACAGGAAGCCCGAGGCAGAGTTGCTCTGCCCCGGGCTTCCTGGAATCAGCCGCTGATCAGTTTCAGTAGCAGCTGACTTGGGGACGCCTGGGGTTCTTAAGTTGAATCTGTATGTAAGAACTGGCGTCCAGATTCAGCCTGTTGAAACTGATCAGCGGCTGATTCCAGGAAGCCCGGGGCAGAGCAACTCTGCCTCGGGCTTCCTGTAGTCAGCCACTGGTCAGTTTCAGCAGTAGCTGAATCTGGATACCAGTTCTGACTTACATACAGATTCAACTTAAGAACAAATCTACAGTCCCTATCTTGTACGTAACCCAGGGACTGCCTGTATTTCTGACAAATTAAAACCCAGCGGTTCCTTGGCAGGGTCAATGAAAAGCTGTTTGTTTTGAGCAGATGAAACATTCCTTGAGAGTCTCCACTGAACATCAGCATCAATGTTCTGTCTAAGGGTTTTGATGCAGTTCCACAGAGGATTGTGGGATTTTAATCTTGTCTTTGGCAGGTTCTGCAGGTCACTCTACAGCTGGATCCTCATGTTTGCATTGACACGGTTAAGAAACTGAGATCTCTGAGCAGCACTTCTAATCTATTGAGGCTGGATGTACAATAGGACTGGGAGCCAGCTGACTAACTTCAATCTGAGCATCCCTGACACTATTTACAGCCTGGGAGCTATGGGGAGAGGAGCCTGAGGATGCTCAACAGCAGTAATATGTCCTGTGGCCCAACAGCTGATTACCCTCAAAGGTTGTGAATCAAAGGTTGCCAACCCCTGAGTTAGGGTATTAATTCAGTATACAGCCAGGCCAGCCAGAATTCTGATACATACGGAAATATATATTGAGCCTACATACATTGAGACTTCTCCAGGGGCCAATTACTCCACTCTATGGTGCTCTATGGTCCTCCCTGGTCTGTTGGTCTCCAGCAGACCAGGGAGACGGGCAGCAAACCCCGTTCGTAACTGCGGATCCGACATAAGTCGGATCCGCGTAACTCGGGGACTGCCTGTACTGGAGCAGATTGGATCACATCAGTACATCTTATGGGAGATGTGGACAAATTTTCGTTTAAATTGAAAATGAAGCAAACACCTATATGTGACTGTGGTCACCGGGCACGAACTATGAAGCACATCATATCTGAAGCTATGTCTAGACTGCAGGCTTCTTTCAGAAGAAGCTTTTCCAGAAGGGATCTTCCAAAAAAACTTCTTCCGAAAGAGCGTCCACACTGCCAAAACACATCGAAAAAGCCATCTGCTTTTTGAAAAGAGCGTCCACGCTCCTGCACCCACAAGCACCGCCCTTGGAGCTCCCATTCACTGGTTTCTAGCCAATGGGAGCTGTGAGGATAGTGTTGAGGGTGGGGACAGCGCATGAAGATTTTCTGCTTCCCTTGCTCCAAGGGATGTTCAGGGAAATGCTTGCTATTGGCAGCCATCCATTTCAGGGAGTGGCGCATGGGGCCGTAGCAGGTGCAGAACTTTAGTGGCCTGGAGGCTCATGTCGGACCAGAGACAAATGTTCGGGTCATGGCCAGGAGGAGACAAATGCCCAGATGTGACCTGCAAGCCATATTTTGCCCACCCTGATAAGGAGGAATTCATCCTGCAAGCCTCAATCAGTGTTTGAAGTTATTAACCCCAAGACTGAATCTTATGTGGATTCCCTAACTTCTAGGATGACTGAACAGTCATCTTGAGCTATCACAATGTAGGAGCTACTAAATGGAATGAACCCTATAGTAGTTAAAGTAGTTGAAGTATGTCCCAAAACATAGCTTTCTGGGATATGTCTACCCTGCAGTTAAGCCCCTGTGACAAGCCTGTGCCAGCAGATTCAAGCTTGCAAGGCTGGAGCTCAGTGACTATTTAATTGTAGTATACATCTTTGGATGCAGGCTGCAGGCCAGGCTCTGGGACCCTTCCACCCTTATTGCTTTTTAACTTGTTGCAGCTGGATGCAGCTCAAGAGCAATCAAATGTACAAAGAATTGCAACCTTGCCTTCCTACCATCAGAGAGGCTTGGTCTGTAATCATTCAATTGGATCATTATGCAAACTTGGAATCAGTGATACAGTTGGCAGAGTGTTAGCTGGAATACACGGATCACAAGGCCTTTATTTTCCAAAATAATTTAAAATAAAAATAACCAAAAACGCCCTTCCCCCCACACACACCTGATGCATGTACCAAGAATTCTTGAGTGATGCTAAATTAGTGGAGGATCTAGCTAGTGGTACTGAAAGTGCTGTGTGCAAGGAAAGTGAATTGGTGTTTTGAAGGTTTCATTGTTGTCTATAGAATAATCCATTATTAAATTATTCTCTGCTTTGAGCAGCAAGGAGTATAGATTTTCCATTTGTATTGCGTCTTCCACGTTCAAAGAGATGGTACAGTAAAACTCCAGTTGTCTGGCATCTAGTGGTCCTGCACTCCTGGTAGTCCAGCACCACCTGGAACCCAGAAGTGCTCCAGGCAGCCAGACAATTGGAGCTGCTCTGCCCCAGGCTTCCCTGAGTCAGCCACTGGTCAT